CGTGCGCGCTCGCCTGCGCGTGCGCGTGCGGGCGCGTGCGCGTGCGCGCGCGTGCGTGCGTGCATGTGCGTGCGTGCGAAAGCGCGCGCGTGCGTGCGCGCGTGCGCGCGTGCGCGCGTGCGCGCGCGAGTGCGTGCGCGCCAGCGCACGTGCGTGCGTGCGTGCGCGCGTGCGTGCGCGCGTGCGCGCGTGTGTGCGTGTGTGCGTGTGTGTGCGTGTGTGTGCGTGTGTGCGTGTGTGTGTGTGTGCGTGTGTGTGTGTGTGTGCGTGCGTGTGTGCGTGGTTGTGCGTGCGTGCGTGTGTGTGTGTGTGTTTGTGTGCGTGTGCGTGCGTGTGTGCGCGTGCGTGTGCGCGTGTGCGTGTGCGTGTGCGCGTGAGCGTGCGTGTGCGTGTGCGTGTGCGTGTGCGTGTGCGTGTGCGTGTGCGTGTGCGTGCGCGCGTGTGCGCGTGCGCGTGCGCGCGTTCGCGCGCGCGTGCGCGTGCATATGCGTGTGCGCGCGCGTGTGCGTGTGCGTGGGCGTGTGCGTGTGCGTGTGCGTGTGTGCTTGTGCGTGTGCGCGTGCGTGTGCGTACGCGCGCGTGCGTGTGCGTGTGCGCGTGCGTATGCGCACGCGTGTGCGTGTGCGTGTGCGTGTGCGTGCGCGGGTGCGCGTGCGCGTGCGCGTTCGCGCGCGCGTGTGCGTGTGCGTGTGCGTGTGCGCGTGCGTGTGCGTGTGCGTGTGAGTGTGCGTTGCGTGTGCGTGTGCGTGTGCGTGTGCGTGTGCGTGTGCGTGTGCGTGTGCGTGTGCGTGTGCGCGTGTGTGTGCGTGTGCGTGTGCGTGGTGTGCGTGTGCGTGTGCGTGTGCGTGTGCGTGTGCGTGTGCGTGTGCGTGTGCGTGTGCGCGTGCGTGTGCGTGTGCGTGTGCGTGTGCGCGTGCGCGCGTGCGCGTGTGCGCGTTGGCTCGCGTGCGCGCGTGCGCGTGTGCGCGTGTGCTCGCGTGTGCGCGTGCGCGTGTGCGCGGGTGCGCGCGTGCGCGTGCGCGCGTGTGCGCGTGTGCGCGTGTGCGCGCTGTGTTGTGTTGTGTCGTGTCGTGTCGTGTCGTGTCGTGTCGTGTCATGTCGTGTGGTGTCGTGTCGTGTCGTGTCGTGTCGTGTCGTGTCGTGTCGTGTGTCGTGTCGTGCTGTGTTGTGCTGTGCTGTGCTGTGCTGTGTTGTGTTGTGTTGTGTTGTGTTGTGTTGTTGATGTGTTGTGTTGTGCTGTGCTGTGTTGTGTTGTGTGGTGTGGTGTGGTGTGGTGCGGTGCGGTGTGGTGTGTGTGTGTGTGCGTGCGTGCGTGCGTGCGTGCGTGCGTCGTGCGTGCGTGTGTGTATGTGTGTGTGTGTGTGTCTGTGTCCGTGTGCATTTGGCATCTCTGGTCCTTTTTGGGGGACGCTTTTGAACTGTCCTGGGGCTGTTTGAGCAGTCCTTGGGCCCTTCGGTGTTGCTTTCGAGGGCTTTGACCGTTTTGAAGCCTTCTTGGGCCCGTCTCGGGAGCCCCTTGGGGCTTGTCGGGAGTCTTTGGGGACCCTGTGGATGTCTTGGGTACCTCTTGTGCCGTCTTGGGACCTTCTTGGGGGCCTCTTGGGTCGTCTTGGGCCGTGGGAAGCCTGAATAGGTAAAACCGTGGAAACTGAAAACTCAAAGGAAAAAAAAAACATCTGAGTTCCTCGTGTGCTGTTTCGGGGCCCGCTTGGACCGCTTCGAGGCCATGACAGGCCATCTTGGAGCAAGTTCGGGCGGTCGTGGGATTTTTTGGATCGCCCATGAGCCGCCTTGGAGCTCATCGAAGGTGCCGAATTAGGTCATGGTCCTCTGGGGGAGGCCTTATCATATGATAGGAGCAGGAGCGTCTATGTTATATGGATATATGTTATGTATATTTGCATACATACATACATACGTACGTACGTACGTACATATCTATATATAAACATATATATATATACTGTACCACTCCTCCTCCTCCTCCCTCGCCTCCTCCTCCCTCCTCCTGCTCCTCCTCCTCTTCCTCCTCTATCTTCATCCTCTTCCTCATCATCTTCCACCTTATCCTTATATCCTCCCTCTCCTCATACATCTCCCATGAGAAGAGGGGGCGGCGGAGGCAAAGGATAAGGATGACGATCAGGAGGAGGAGCAGGAGGAGGGACAAGTTGGGGAAAGTACGGAGTGGAGTGACGAGAGGAGGACAAGGCGGAGGGGCAGAACAATCATACTGCTGAGGGGTATCTCCAACTGTTCCTCCTCCTCCTCCTCCTCCGCCTCATGATCCACCTGCTGCGCCTCCTCCTCCTCCTGCTCCCATTACGTTATCATCCTCAGGCTTCCTCCTCGTCTTAACCGTCATCCTGTTACTTTTTTCCCCTCTCTCCCAAATGGGAGGAGGAGGAACAGTGGTATGAGAAATGCTGAACAGGAGGACAACGATGATGATGAGTAGGTTGAGGAAAGATTCCTCCCCTACCTGCGCTCCCACCAATCGTACGCGTCCTCCTCCTCACCCTCCTTCTATCACTCCTGCCCTTCATCCCCCGATCCTTTCAATGAGAGGAGGAGAACGAGGAGGAGCAGGACGACGACGAGGAAGAGGAGGAGGAGTGACCCTCAAAACCACACCTTCCTCCAAGTCATTCTCATCATCCACATCCTCCTTCTATGACGCCTCCTTATCCCCCTTCGTCATCCTCCTCCTCTGCCTCCTCCTGCTCCTTCTCCTTCTCCTCCTCCTCCTTCTCCTGATCATCATCATCATCATCATCATCATCATCATCATCATCATCATCATCATCATCATCAGCATCATCATCCTCATCAGCATCATCATCAGCATCGTCATCAGCATGACCATCATGATCATTATCATGATCATGATGATGATCAGCATCATCAGCATCATCATCATCATCATCATCAGCATCATCATCATCATCATCATCCTCGTCATCATCATCATCATCACCATCATCATCACCATGATAAGAATCTTCATCAGCAGCATCATCATCGTCATCATAATCATGGTCCTCAGCATCATCATCCTCAGCAGCACCATCATCAGCATCATAATCATCATCAGCATCATCATCAACAACAGCATCAACGCCATCATCATCACCACCACCAATATCATCACCATCATCATCATCGTCATAATCAGCATCGGTATCATCATCAACATCATCATCATCGTCACCATCATCGTCGTCAATCCTCATCATCATAATCATCAGCGTCATCAGCATCCTCGTCATCATCACCATCATCATCACCACCATCACCCTCATCATCATCAGCATCATCATAATCAGCATCATCACCAGCACCATAATCATCGTCAGCAGCTACAACAGAATCATCGCCGTCATCATCATCATCATCATCATCATCCTCATCGTCATCAACATGATCCGTCATCAGCATCACGATCATGGTCATCACCCTCATCATCATCACCATCATCATCATCACCATTATCATCACAATCGGCATCATCATCAGCATTAGCAACAGCAGCATCAGCGTTATCGTCGTCGTGGACGCCATCTTCATCGTCATCATCATCACCACCACCACCATCACCATCAGCATCAGCATCAGCATGGGCATCATCATCATCATCAGCATCATCATCGTCGTCGTCATCATCACCATCACCATCATCATCATTCATCATCAGCAGTATCATCATCATTCATCATAATCATCAGCATCGGCATCACCATCATCATCATCATCATCACCATGATCGTCATCGTCATCGTCATCTCCTAATCATCATCCCCGTCGTCTGCCCCTTCCCATAATACTGAGCATGACTGGCAGAGAGAGGATGAGCAGGAGGAGTAGGGTGATGAGGAGACGAAGGATTGATGTGAGCAGGTGGAGGAGGGTGCGGAGGAGAAGGAGGCGTGTTCCTCCACTCCGTTTCCTGATAAATAACTTCTCCCTGTCGCACCCCGAGGCAACTTTTTAGGGCGGGGCGGGCGTTTCGCCTAAGACTTCCTCACCACGTATTACTCTGAAACTTTAACATTAAAAACAGTTTCACATATGGATGGCGGGTCGTTTTCAAAATGTGGCCCTCGCCTTAGCGCCGCGAACATTCTTTTGAAAAATTCGCAAGCGCTTCACGGATTGAGGGCGAGTGGTTTTCAAAATGTGGTTCCCGCCTTAGCACCGCGCACATTCGTGTTAAACATGTGCACGAGCTTCACGGATTGAGGGCGAATGATTTTCAAAATGTGGTTCCCGTTTTAGTGCCGCGCACAGTCGCTTAACAAATGTGCAAGCGCTTCACGGATTGTGGGCGGGTCCTTTTCAAAATGTGGTTCTCGCCTCAGCGCCGCGCACATTCGTTTGAACGAATACAAGAGTTTCACGGATTGAGGGCGGCTCCTTCAGAATATGGCTCTCGTCGTGGCGACGCGCACATTCGCTTATAAACTTTGCAAGAGTCTCACGGATTCCCATGATCAGCGTAACAGAAATTGTGTTTTGGAAGGGTTCAAGATTTCACGGTGCAATAGTTACGTGGATTCGCGGAGTTGAAGTCCTAGGAATGGCATTTTGGCACGATTCAGGATCGTCAAGACGCAGCAGTCAGGTTGATCTGTGGCGTTGGAACCCCGAGAATCATGTTTTGGCATGCTTCAGGGTCTTCAAACAGTTGTCTGCCAACGAGGCAGTTCCCTCAATGGAAATGAACCGATGTAGGGGCCTATGAAGAGGAAGCTTGGAGAAAAGGTTGATTCCAACATCGCTGATGACTCTTAGGTTTACACTGGACCTCCTCCTCCTCCTCCTCCTCCTCCCTCCTCCTCGTCCTCCTCCTCCTCGTCCTCCTCCTCCTCGTCCTCCTCCTCCTCGTCCTCCTCCTCCTCGTCCTCCTCCTCCTCGTCCTCCTCCTCCTCCTCCCCTCCCAGATGGCCACGTCAGGACGGACCGCATCCTCGCCGCCGCCCCCCCCCCCCCGCACGCCCCGCCTGCCGTGCCGCCGCGCCCTCAGCGGCCGAGGCCCGAGAGGTGGCGACCCGGTCGGCGCCGAAGGCGCGCTGGGCCGCCTCTCTTCCCGAGCCGGTGCGCGCGCGCGGCAAGCGGAGGGCTGCGGCTGGGCTGCGGGCGGGCGGGCGGGCGGGCAGAGGAAGGGAGGGAGAGAGGAGGGGGAGAAGGAGGAGGAGCAGGAGGAGGAGGAGGAGAGCCCGTGCAAACCCAAGCCCCATCAACGATGTTGCAATAAGCCCCAAGACGCTCCACGAGGGCCCCAAGAAGGCCCAAGAGGCGCCCACGACGGCCCAAGAGGGCCCAAAGACGGCCCCAAGAGGGGGCCCAGATGGGGAACCTGAAAGGGCATTTCGAGCCCTCGGCCCCGAAGGCCCTCCAGGAGGCCCCAAGAGGCCCCCAAGAGGCCCCCAAAAGGCTGCCCAGAAGGCCCCAAAACTGTTCCCAAGAGGCCCCCGAGAGCGCCCCAAAGAGACCCGAGAAGGCATCCCTGAGAACGTGGACCCACAACCCAAGCACGGTGGCAGAATGGACCGAAGGCCACCAGATCCGCCGCCCCCTGTCGATTCATCGCAGGGGTGTCTGGCGTGCCGAACGATATGGTTTTTGGTTTTGGTTCTTTTCCCAGAAGAACTCCCCCTGGGGCTTCGGCCTGTCCCGCCGGGCAGTTTTGGGCTAACTGGAAAGGATCTCAAGGAGCTCAATCCGGAACAAATCCTCCAAGATGGTTCAAGATGGCCTCCAAGATGGCCACGTTGGCCCAAGATGGCCTCCAAGATGGTCCAAGACGGCCTCCAAGTCCGCCCAAGATGGTCCAAGACGGCCTCCAAGACGGCCCAAGAGAGTCCAAGATACCTCCAAGGTCGCCCAAGAAGCCTCCAAGACGGCCCAAGACGACCCAAGAGGCTTCCAAGAGATCCTTCAGGAGGGCCCGAAGAGGCCAACATCATGAATATTCCTTAGGTTTCCAAAGGATCTTGGCACTTGCTTCTTCTCGGCATTCCGACGGCTCAAGACGGCCCAAGAGGCCCCCAAGATCGCCCCAAGATCGCCCACGAGGCCTCCAAGATGGCCCCATGACGTCCCAAGAGGCCCCCGAGACGGCCCCAAGAGGGCCCTTAGAGGCTTCCAAGACGGCCAAGATGGCCTCCAAGTCGGCTAACATGGTCCCAAGATGCCTCCAAGATGGCCAAAGATGCACCCAAGACGGCCTAAGATGGCCTCAAGATAGCCCAAGAGGCCCCTAAGAGGCCTCCAAGACGGCCCAAGAAGGCTCCAAGAGGTCCTCCAGGAAGGCGCGAAGAGGCCAACATCATTGATTGTCTTTAGTTTTTGAAAGATTTTGGCATTCGCTTCTTTTCGGTATTCCGACGGCTCCAGACGGCCCAAGAGGCCCCCAAGACCGCCCCAAGATCGTCCACGAGGCCTCCAAGATGGCCCCATGACGGCCAAAGAGGCCCCCAAGACGGCCCCAAGAGGGCCCCAAGAGGCCTGCAAGACGGCCAAGATGGCCTCCAAGGCGGCTAACATGGCCCCAAGATGCCTCCAAGACGGCCCAAGATGCACCCACGACGGCCTAAGATGGCCTCAAGATGGCCCAAGACGGCCCAAGAGGCCCCCAAGAGGCCTCCAAGACGGCAAAGAGGTCTCTAAGAGGTTCTCCAGGAGAGCCCGAAGAGGCCAAAATCATTGACTTCCCATTGGTTTATTTGAAAGATGTTGGCATTTGTTTCTTCTCTGCATTCCGACGGCTCAAGATGGCCCAAGAGACCCTCAAGATCGCCCCAAGATCGCCCACGAGGCCTCCAAGATGGCCCCATGACGGCCCAAAAGGCCCCCAAGACGGCCCCAAGAGGGCCCCAAGACGGCCCAAAAGGCTTCTCAGACGCCCAAGAAGGCTACGACGGTCCTGAAATTCCCCAAGACGGCCTAAGATGGCCTCAAGATGCACCCAAGACGGCCTAAGATGGCCTCAAGATGGCCCAAGACGGCCCAAGAGGCTCCCAAGAGGCCTCCAAGACGGCCCAAGAAACCTCCAAGAGGGCATCCAGGAGGGCCCAAAGAGGCAACTATCATGCATATTCCTTAGGTTTCCGAAGGATCTTGGCACTTGCTTCTTCTCGGCATTCCGACGGCTCAAGACGGCCCAAGGGGCCCCCAAGATCGCCCCAAGATCGCCCTCGAGGCCTCCAAGATGGCCCCATGACGGCCCAAAAGGCCCCCAAGACGGCCCCAAGACGGCCCAAGAGGCCTCCAAGACGCCCAAGATGGCCTCTAAGACGGCCCTGACATGCCCCAAGAGCGTCCCAAGACGACCCAGACAGGCCCCCAAGACGGCTTCCGACGGCGTCAGACAAGGCAGGAACGCCCTAAGACGGCCAAAGAGGCCCCCAATAAGCCCCCAAAGGCCCCCCAAAACCCTCCAAGAGGCCCCAGGAAGCTCCCAGGAGGCCCCAACAGTGCCCCAAGAGGCGCCCAAGAGGCCTCCTCCTCCTCCTCCTCCTCCTCCTCCTCCTCCTCCTCCTCATCCGTAGCCATTTTGGCTCAAGCCGTTTCGGTACATCGCGTGCGTGCCGCGGCGCTCTTCGAAGCGGCGTTGCCGCGGCGGGCCATGGCGGGCGTCCAGGAAGGTGGGGATGATCGGCTTTGAGCACTCTCGCGAGCATTGCAACCTTGGTGGCGCGAAGTTCGTCATCCTGCGTTGTGATGATCAAGGCTTGGTGTCCTCTCCTGTGCAAGAACGCGACCACTGCCGAGAAGTGTTGGCTTTTCGGCAAGGTCGTTTTCATAGGTATGATCAAGACCCGCCAAAAGTATGCGATCAAGGCCGGGAAGCGAGGGCTCTTCGGCAAGGCCGTGCTGGTGGAAATGGTCGTCATCGTGAGGGTAGTCTTCATGAAGGGGTGGCCAACACCAGGAGGAGTATCTAGAGCTGTTTGCAGCAGGGCAAGCCGTCTTCAAGGTCGAGGTCTGATCCTGGGCTCGGAGGTGGCTTGCGCTCATTGGGGCTTGGCCTGGGGCATCGTCGCCGCCGCTGGATACTCCTCGAATTTTTTGTGGGCCGTTGGGTCCTCCGTGGGTTTCTGGCTTCCTCGTCGCCTCGCTGGATTCCCCTCGTTTGCTCGCTGGGCACTGGCTCAGCACAGCGTCTCGGCGAAGGCCCGAGAGGCGTCTGCCTAGGTAGCGGGCCTTGCAGACCAAGGCGTTTCATCAGATCCCTCAGATCCCTCCTCCTCCTCATTCTTTTTCCTGATCCTCCCCCTCCTCCTGTTCTTGCTCCCCCACGCGTTCCCCGAAGTCTTTCCAAACCGACTCGGGGAACAACTGGCCAGATAGCTTGGCCAAGCTCTGGCCGAGCTGCCGGCCACAGAGGCGCTTCCAAGAGGCAGGGGGCGGCGGTGATTCGCCGTAGGCGTATTCGATCCGCCGCCCCCTGTCGATTCATCACTGGGGTGCCTGGCGTGCTGAACCCTTTCGATTTTGGCTTTGGTTCTTTCCCAGAAGAACTTCACCTGGGGGTTCGGCGCGTCCCGCCGGAGTCCCGGGACGATCTCCAATGAGCTCAATGCCCCAACAAAAACCCTCCAAGACGGTCCAAGATGGCCTCCGAGATGGCCTCCAAGTCCGCCAAAGACGGTCCAAGATGGCCTCCAAGACGGCCCAAGAGGGTCCAATATACCTCCAAGTGCACCCAAGAAGCCTCCAAGACGGCCCAAAACGGCCCAAGAGGTCTCCAAGAGGTCATCCAGGAGGGCCCGAAGAGGCCAAAATCATTGATTGTTCTTGACTTTTCTCACTCAGCAGCAGGTCCTGTAGTGAAGTCAGGCCTGGAGTTCACTCGTGGGGCACCAGCTTCGCACTGCCTTGCAGAACTACGAGACAGCGAGGCGTTAGCACACCCGGAATCATAGAGGGAAAAATCCCGGGGACCGTTCTTGCACTGTTTAGCGAGGCACAATAATTTCACTGAGGCACGGGCACAGAGGGCGAGGGTACGGTTGAGTCTTCATCAGCCGCTTTTCTTTCGAGGACCTGGTGAACACAGCCGGCCCGACTGCAAATGCGTCTCCCTGGGCATTCGCGCTCACGCTTGCTTGAGATATCACAGGCATTGCAGATCATGAAACGCGTGGCCTTCCGCCACTCGGTGCAGCATCGACATCGCGAGTCGCGACCCTAGGCAGGGCAGCGGTTCTCTGGAAGCGGAGGCGCTTCCAAAGCAACGAGGTCTGAGGATTCTCCATTATACAGATCTTCCCAAGCTTACGGCACAAGTTAAAGACGCGAAGCGAAAAAGCGGCCAAACAGTTTCCAATGCGGACTTTTTCCCGATCCGAGTCAGAGAGATTCGGCACACAAAAACATGCGAGTTGGTTCTCAAGGGCGGGCCCCCCCCACGCCTAGCTCTCGAAAAAGTCACGCAGGGGCAGCCTACCAGGGCACCTCTACATTCATGGCTGAGAAGTCTAGCGATCACCTGCCTCTGAACTGATCTCTTACTCAAGTCTTTCTGGGGACCGTGGATGACGTCAGTCGAAATAGCTCGTCCGCCCGACTGCTTCACGGCCCCTGCGAACCTGCCGTTTCCCGAGAACATGCCCTCCACGCTCCCTCCCTCCCTCCCTCCCTCCCTCCTCCCTCCTCCTCCCTCCTCCTCCTCCTCCTCCTCATCCCTCCTCCTCCTCCTGCTCCTCCTGCTCATCCTGCTCCTCCAACTTCTCCTCCTCCTCCTCCTCCTGCTCCTGCTCGTACTCCTCCTGCTCCTACTTCTCCTCCTCCTCCTCCTCCTGATACCGGGGAAAAACCCAATGTTCATGTTGGTTAGGGTTATAGGGCTATGGGGCTATAGTGGTATAGGGCTATAGGGCGATATGGCTATAGGGCTATAAGGCTATGGGGCTATAGGGCTATAGGGCTATAGGGTTATAGGGCTATAGGGCTATAGGACTATAGGGCTGTAGGGCCATAGGGCTATAGGACTCTAGAGCTATAGGGTTCTAAGGCTATAAGGCTATAGTGCTATAGGGCTATTAGGGCGATAGGGCTATAAGGCTAAGAGGGCCAAAAGGCTACAGGGCCATAGGGCTATAAGACTATAAGGCTGTAGGACTATAGGGCTATAGGGCTACCCGGTACCTGGGCAACCGGGCACCTGGGCACCCAGACACCTGGGCACCCAGGCGTGCCGCCGAAATCGGCGACACACCTCACCTAACCATACGAGTACGCTAGGACCCCTACTCTGATTGGGGAACAAATAACTTCTCCCTCTCGCACCTCGAAGCCAATGTTTAGGGCGGGCCAGGCGTTTCGTCTGAGACCTCCTCACCATCTGTAACCCTGAAACTGCAAAATTGGCAACAACTTCACAGATGGAGGCCGGGTCGTTTTCAATATGTGGCCCTCGCCTTAGCGCCGCGCACATTCGTGTAACTTTGTTAAAATGTCACTGATTGAGGGCGACCCGTTTTCAACATGTGGCTGTCGCCTTAGCGCCGCGCACACTCATTTCTCAAATTGTGCAATAGCTTCACGGATTGAGGTCTCCCCGTTTTCAAAATGTGGTTCTCGCCCGAGCGCCGAGCACATTCGTTTAAAACAATCTGCAAGAATTTCACTGATTGAAGGCGGTTCCTTTTCAATATGTGGTTCCTGCCTCAGCGCCGCGCACATAATACCACAAACGGTGTTTTGGAAGGATTCAGGATTATGAAGGTCCAACGGTTACCTTCATCCGAGGTGTTGAAATCCCAAGAATGGCTTTCTGGCACGAATCATGAACGTCAAAACGCAACAGTCAGGTTGATCCGTGGCGTTGGAATCCCGAGAACAATGTCTTGGCATGCTTCAGGGTCTTCAAACGGTTGCCTTACAACGAGGCAGTTCCCTCGATGGGAATGAGCCGTTGTGGGGGCCTATGAAGAGGAAGCCTGGAGGGAGAGCTTACTCCAACATCGCTGATGACTCTTGGGCTCAGACTAGTCCTCCTCCTCCTCCTCCTCCTCCTCCTCCTCCTCCTCCTCCTCCTCCTCCTCCTCGCCCTTCCCCTCCTCTTCCTCCTGCTCCTCCTGCTCCTCCTGCTCCTCCTGCTCCTCCAACTTCTCCTCCTCCTCCTCCTCCTGCTCCTGCTCGTACTCCTCCTGCTCCTACTTCTCCTCCTCCTCCTCCTCCTG